AAAAATAAATATTAAATTATTATTTTTTCTTTATTTACACCATTTCTTCTCTATAAATATATTTGCGTGTATATATATATAAAAGTAGTAATATGCATATGCACATATATTTATATAAAAGAAACTTGAGGGATGTAAGAAGAGGGAGACTCATGCCAGTAGTAACAAAACCTAATTCTGGCCCTTCTGACAAAGGGCCCCCACAAAGTACAATGAAAATCATGTTGCCTTTTACTATGTTTCTAAAACAAATAACAAAGCTTACTTTCAAACAAGTTTCTTCATGTGATTACTTTTACTTTCGCTGAATGAAAGTAACAGGCTTCAACTTCAGAGCACAATAAAGTATTTGTACACTCTCTGCCAACAAAATTATGAAGTATAAAGTAGGCTTTAGACATTTTTGCTAGCTGCAAATTGTCATTTTTGTCTTACTGTAGGCTGTGATTGTGAGAACATAAACAGAGAATAAAATAATTCTCTTATATTATCAGGTTTTACACAACTACAAAAGCTCACCTGAAGAGCCTCCATTCTACCTTGAAGCTGCAATCTATCTTCCAAATCCTGACAACGCTCTTCTAGAAAAAGAATTTGTTCCTGCAGTTGATTTCTTTCCAATTCCAATTCTTCAACGACACTCCGTAAACCTACTTAAGTCAAAGAGGAAAAATTATTTCAAGAAAGGTCTACTAAAATTTCTGAAGACTAGAAATGGTTTCAGCTTTTTATTGACAATTCTCACCAGTATTGGGGACAATCAGATCTCAACCATTACCAGTGGAAATGCCTGAGGCCCTGCATTTCCAAAAATTGCATGGCAAAAGTACCCTTAACTGTTGAAAAACCAAAATAAAGTTGCATAGCTCAAGAACTCAGAGAACCTGGCAGAAATACTCTAAACAATATTGTGGCTCAATCAATAGTGTGGCTCACGTTACTTTAATCGCAAGTTAATCGTGTACTTGCAGGATCAGATCTTAAGCTATTATTAATAAACTAAGTACACTGGTTTGTATCAAAATTTGCAAATCAGTCTATTCCTTTTTAACAATAAGATATACTTGCAGCCTTTACCACCAATATAAAAACATTTGCTTTAAAAAAGTAAGAATTTGATTTTTAAATTAAAAGCATACAGCAATGGAATGCAATTCTGTTTTGCAACATAACTTACATAGACTGGAAATACAGTCACAGGAACAAGACTCATAACTTAAAAAACACATGATCTTGCCACATAGGATATTTCATGGGCACCAAGGCTCAACCAATTCCAGCGTTTAGTCATATTTATATTCTACTTCTGAACCAACACTAGGCAGTTCATCCAGCACGCACATGCTTTAAAATGAAAAGGAAGAAAATGCAAGCCAAAAAAATTCAACAAAGATTAGAATACACCACAAATGGGTTGTTAGTTGAATTTGAAAACAAAAATAGACACAAAATACAGATGCTGTGCATGCTTTAATAAACTGTCTAGTCGCTATCACACCTGCATTAGGTGAAGTGTACTCTGGCCACCAACCTCCCATATTTTCTCCTTCAGCTGAATCAGTGCTATCCAAGGTGACATTCAATTCTTGAAAGCATTGTTTTCTATCAAAGTTGTATTCTTCCTATGCACAAAACATGAAAATGAACTTTAATTTAATGAAGAAAGGAAGCAAGGGTAAAATATATATTCTGTTAGTAAAAGTGTAGTTTCAATTAAAAGTCCTAAAACTCAACAAGTGATTCAGGTGCCTAAATGTAAGTATATGGGATGGCTGGGGACACTAGAGTAACCTGCCCAGCTTCCAGCTATTATTTCCAGAAAAGCCAAGTCTCCTACAGGTTTTGTATGGTATCTGCCAGGCCTTTAAAGATACCCTCAGGCATCTGAAAGGCCAATGGATAACTACGTTTGGATACCTTAATTGGTCCCCTGATTTCTACAGTTAACAGGGTTCTCCGAACCTCAGGGTAAAGTATCGGAGTTAAACATAAAATTATTCTTTCAATGGTATGTTAATGTGACAGTGACGTCCTAATTCTTATTACAAAAGATTATAATTTTTTTGTGCAAGTTACAGCACCAACTACCTAAAAGTACAGCTGAATGAACAGATACTACTTACTAATTATTGAGTAAAGCTCCACCAACAAAGAGATACGTAAAGATTGTATCTAAACCAAAAATGGCCTTAACATATTAGGCATGCACATAGCTTCAAGCATGTAAATTACTCCAGAGGAAAGCTCATTATTTTTCAGTGTCAAATTAAGTAGACTCCTTACTCAAGGAATAGAGAGGTGTGATGCCATCAGAATTTCTCATCTTCTGGCTACATACACGATCATTAAATTTACCAAAGTCTTCAGTTACATAATTAATGTAAGTTCTCAAACTCTTAATGTTTTTAAGTGTAAAGCACCATATAAATAATAGTACTTTCCATATTTTTATTAACATACAGGTAAAAATAAACTCTTATCTCTTTTAACCCACCTGAAGCTTCCTGCTGGTCTGATTGTTTTTTCTTCTTGCCTGCTGCAGCCTGCCCATTCCTTGAACTGTGGTCAGTTCCTCCTCCAGCTCCTGTTGCCCTGAGACTATGGCTGGATCAGAGCAGCCAGGAAAGAACCAGTCATCCTCAATCAGTTTTGTGCCACAGGAAAGCAGTTACATTTATATCAGACACTACTACATGAAAAGAGACCAGGGACAGGCTGAAGTCCCTATGAATGACTGACAGGAACAAGATTAAAGAAGCAATCCATTGCATTCACCTTGTGATTTCCCTCCAACATTACTATGTAGAACATAAGAATAAAGTCTGCGTATCTCACTAAGAAGAAGCAAACTGAAATCTAACTTTACTTCTTCATCAGCTCTAAATGAAGACTTTATACAGGAGACTGGAAAGGGTGAAGTTATGCTGATACTAAAAAAACAAAAAGCCAACCAATTAAAATGCCAAATTACATCTCATTTCAATTTACCAGGTTAAAATATACCTAATTTGTATGATAAAGGCATCAGCTGAAACAGCTGCGGTTTTTATAATCTGAACAATCACATTCATTTTTATGGAAATTACATGTGTTCCTTTCAACTGTAATTTTAGTATGAGCTACAAAGCCAGGTAATTTAAGGAAGTCACAAGCATGTGTTACACTGCAAACTGGCATCAAACCATCTTATCATAAATTAATAATACCATTCTTTTTAAAACAAATACAGAATCACTTGTAAATAAACACACTGAATAAATTCGGAATATGAAAGCTTAGGTATACATCCTGTTCGTTGTTAGAAATTATTTTTCATTTAAAGTACATTCCCATCTGTTTTGTGATATGACAAAACATGTTTGGGGTAACAGATTAGGAAATAGATGTTTCATGCAAAGCAGACAAAACAGAACAGCCCGTGAAAAGAAATGAAAGTAAAGGTGGCTCCATACTTCAATTAAAAATTACATTAATTAGATAATTACAAATTTAGCTTTCAATTTAACCACATCACTCCACAGTTGTCCTCACAGCATGCAAAATTCAGAGAACTTATGTCAATGCATCTGTGAGATAAACACCAGAAACTATTAGGAGATTCAGCCCTACTGGGAATACTCAGCTTTCATCTGAGTTGTCCAAGGATTACTTACACCACGAATTTCATTAACACACAATTCTGTAACACCTACTAGATTTAAGTTCTTCCTGTAATATTTCAAAATTACATACTTAACATGTTGTCAGAAAAGATTTAGAGGAAAAAAGTTAAAGAAAAAAAATTAATGACCTTTTTAAAGTAGGACTACTAAATTGGTTTTTACTTCTGGTTTTAATTACACTTTGGCTTCCGGCACTGTCACTTTATCAGCATTCATTTTACACACCATTGTTTATTTTCAAGTATAGAATCTACTACTTTTTTTTTTTTAATCATTATAAATACTTCTTCAAAGCCGTAAAAATAAATGCCAAATTTTGATCGCATGCCTCTGTTTACAAGAACTGTCATTGAAGTCAGTGAAGCAATTCAAGGAGCACGCGTTATTCCAGATAAGAACTTAATCCCTTCTTTGGAGGGGGAAAAAAAAAAAAAAATTTCAATTTCTTGTAAGTTGAAATTGAGGTAATCTGTTTTTAAGTATAATCAGAATGAATAACACGCTGTCCTTTAGGAACCCAAAATATCTAGGCTCCTAAGCATTTGATAATGAAAAAAAGAATGAAATTACCATTGTCACGTGAAAAATTAAAGCATAGAAATTGGAGCTTTAGAATGATTAAGAACACTCAGGCAAGTGTTAAAACACTGAGTTAAATTCAGCATTGCTTTAACAACAATTAGTAAGTAAATACAATTTCTAATGTTTTACAGCAGCTTAGGGAGCTTTTCATTTGCAATTATATCTAACATAAAAACTGAAAAACCTTCCAGGACGCCTTTCTTCAGATACACACTGCGTTTAAATTAACTAAAGATGTGTCTATATTTCCTTGTGTCACTATTCACACTAAATATCACAATCTTTAGTGGTCTGCAGAGGAATCAAGCCCCAGTCTATAAATGTAATCAATACTGTCATCCTCTACGCTTTTGCAGCTCCCCACACATTCAACCCAAAAGAGACAATCGCCATATATGGCAAATTGTCATAGACTACGATGACACAAGTAGTGGGTTGGTATATTGCTTAAAATATTGGTAGCTAACATTAATGCATGCAAAGTTCTGCAGTTTATAGGATGGAATATAATTTTTTTAAAAAAAAAATACTACTGAATTTCAAGTACCACTAAGAAGATTTAAATGAATTTGATTCTTACTTAGTCACAAACCAGCTGCAGCAAGCCAAGAAATTTTTCACTAGATAAAGTTACAACATAAATATGGAGTCAGCTGTTACTACAAAGAAAAATGAAGAAAGATGATTCGGTTAATATAAATGAAGAAACAGGTATTGCAAGGCAGAAAAAAAAAAATCAAGTTAAAACCAGCACTTGTTACATTTGTATTGCTAAAAACCATACCATCAATGGCAAATCTTACAAGGTACTTTTGGCGATTTCCTCAAAAGAAGCAACAACAGAAGAAATCAGCAACAGTACATTACAAGTGGCCATTGCTGCAGGAACCTGCATGCACAAAACTGATGGGAAACTATGTTCTCACTGGCTGACCAAATCGCAGTGTAGGGTAGGAGTGGAGGGGGAAGGGACGCTGAGTGCTCATCAGGTGTAACGGCAGGAAAAAAGAAACAGAAAGGTCATGCTTATCCCAAGGGGAAAAAATGCAAAATTAAACACGGACTGACGCAGATGAAACTTTACAACTGTTATTAATATTGCATGTGGATCTGTAGTTACCACAGATGAGATAACAGGTAGTTTTAATGAAGGGAATATTATTCTCTTTCAATTCCAAAGCATTACATGCGTAAATGGCTCAAAAAGAAGAGACGTGATCCTTAAAACATTTCTGTGCTTACATACTGAGCTTCCAAATTGATCATGTAAATGAAAAATAATTCAATCGCGGATTAAAAACAGACGGCTCAAATTAACTAAGTGGATTAATTATGATGGTGGGCTGTGCACATTAAAATTTGCCATTAATCCCCACGCAGTTAAGTAACAAGACAAAAATTATAATATAGTACTAGATAGCATGGAAAAAACAGTTAAAACTAGCTGAAATATAACCAGACTTTTATAAGTTTTAACAGAAGCTGCTTCACTTTCTCATCATCGGTTTTACGAATAATTTAGAAAACTATAAAACCTGAGATTTCTTGAAATGTTATTTTCTGTAAGTAATTTAATATTTTTAACTAGCTCCAAACCATTGCCAGTTAATGTTATTCAGCTGACCTATACAAGTGACACTTACTAATCAATTACTAAATATTCTAAGAAAGGTTTCTCATTCATTATGTTTAAAGCGAAACTCTGTCTCAGGTACATTTTACTAAAGCACCACCTTCATTCATCAAATTCTAACCAATACTATAGTTCCCCACACCTTCACTGCTTGTTCTAGGCAGGCAGCTTTAATATTTCAGTGGTGAACTTTTTATCATTGATCATTCATATGCAGACAATAAGCTTTTGAAGTAAATTCAAGCAGTCTTACAGAGCAGCAACTGAGATGGCAAACAGAACAAGCACATCTACTCATAAAAATAATACAAAAAAGATGAATGTATGAAAAACAGATTCACGGAAATAGGAAAAAGTAGAAATTGCAAATTTAAGCAATTTCACTAGCTATACAAATCTTATGACTACAGAAATGAGTCATATGGTGGTGTGCTATCAAACACATATGTATGTATATACGTGCCCCCTCCCTGGAAACATTCAAGGTCAGGTTGGACTGGGCTTTGAGCAACCTGATCTAGTTGAAGATGTCCCTGCCCATGGCAGGGGGGTTGGACTAGATGACCTTTAAAGGTCCCTTCCAATCCAAACTATTCTATGATTCTATGAGATAGATATAGATACATAAAATGTAAAATATGGTAATTTTATCGTAAATAAAACAATTCACCTTCTCTCTCCTCCTCAATCTGAGCCATTCTCAAGGCCATAGCAGATTTCTCTTCTCTGACTTGATCATGGGACTCCTCTGACTCTGGTACGTTTTCTTGCCATTCCAAGAGCTGACTCTGCAATTCATCCACACTACCTGATTCACTGGCCTAACAAGAGAAACTGTGCATGAAAATATATTCACCAAATACCACTGCAAATGTAAATAACATTTTAAGTTGTAAACCATTCACAGCGAAAACAACCTATTATAATTCACCACTTTGCATAAATAAAAATCTATGAAAGAGATGATAATTGGTATTGTAGATTATGTAAAAACCAAGCCTCACCACTTCGTAAAATATCAAAAATGCTACTGCCAGTTGCACTTTTAATCTGAAATATTTTAAAACGAAAAATGGCTTTTTTAACCAAAATATTTTTGTTGCACATTTTCATCTTAGCAATGTTTCAAAGTAAAACAATATTCAATTGGCTTTATGTGGAATAACAAATCTCTATTAACTTTTTTTCCGTGAACAGAATAAAAATGCTTCTGCCTTCCCATCAAAATATAAACTATTTTAAGATTTTACCAAAAAAACCCACCTTTTCCACAAAATTTGGAAAAAATAATTCTTTTTTAGCAAAATATAATTAACTGTTTCAAACTGGCTCTGCTGCTAGGGCTGTACAAGGTTACCATGTTACCATGATTAACATACACCATTAACCCATCTAAAGCCCTTTAGCAGAATTTTCTTTGTTATCCAGACCTGTACATTTGTCAAGGTTACAGCTATTATTTCCTTCTGAAAGCTATTTGTATTATATACAATAACAGCTACACTTTGATGACTCATGTTAAATGTAACTAAATAAATAATAAACTGCTTGGAAAAATATAATTTAAGGTATGAGGAAATGTAAGTAGAAATTAGTCTTTTTATGGAATTCAAAACCTGTCAGCTTGTTATCCAACTGAACAGCTACTGACACTGACAATTCCATATCACTAAATTAATTTTCAGCTCCAAAATCCAGCTAACACACTTTTCATAGTCTAATTAGCACTGTTTAAGTTAATCAGAAACTCATACAAATAAATTTTAAAGCTAACCTGTGAAGCTGCCCTTTTTGTAACTTGGTCAAGATCAGCTTGCAACTTCCTTTGCTGCTCTTCATAGACTTCCAGCTTAGTCAGCAATTCTTCTATAAAAACATAATAAATTTGGCTCGTCAGGACACAAAACCAATAGGAAGATCAATAAAAATTTAAAAGAAAGATTCAAAAAGAATATTCAGATGATGATTCATTTCAGTTAGAAGACCTCTGTTGGGCTGTGTTGTCCATCTACCCATGAAATTGACTTCTTGATTATTAAATATTGATGAGTGCTTTAAATCTAACCTGCTAACAATTTAGACTGATGAACTGAAAATTCTACCATTTTTCATTTACAGAAAGGATGTCAGAGAAAATAATGCAAGGTGAAACAGAAAAATCTCTCACAGAACTCTACTTTAAACTATGTGAGGTTTTAAGCAAAAATTCTCTCTCAAATCCTTACAAAAGAAAAATATTTGAGATAATCTTAATTTATTGGAAACTCACTGCTCTCAAAAGTTTATTGTGTATACTCTGATAAATTTTCCAAGTATGTTTGATCTCATTTTTCCTCTTAAGAAAGTGCCTCTTCCACTTCCTGGGAAAGTTTACACATACTCTGCCTAAGCCGAAATGCAGCAAGTATTATGCACAGGTAGATTTAGGGAAGGAGAAGCTGAGCTGTAACTCTTACTCAAGTACTGTATGCTATTGTTCAAAGCTGCATGAAGTTATTTCAGAATCTATTTAAAAACAAGGATACACTTTGAAAATAAAAATGAGAAAGTTCATTTATCTTTATCTCTTTACTTTGAATCAACTGCAAAAGAAAAATAGATTTTTTTTTTTTACCATTTTGAGTTCTGATTTCATGTAACGATTGCAGTTTTGACTGTAGTTCTTCATTTTCAATTTCTAATTCTGAGACACGATTGTTTAAGGCAGATACATCACTATTCTTTGATGAAAACTAAAAGAAAAAATAGTTATGAGTTTTTCAAATGCACCAAAACATGAGAAACACAGCAAAGGCAATGCAACTTTTTTTTCTGATTTCGTAGTAATATTTAGAATAGCTGTTTTTCTAATATTTGAAAGTGTAATAAAGTAGCTAATCTCTAACAAATTTACTCCCGAATGCTGGTACACCAGTTTGCAGTACTTTTTGTAGAAACTTCATCCTGTATCAACATTTTATGTCCATTCAATTTTTATACATTAATTCATATATAAAGATACTTTGAGTAAATTATTTTAATATTCTATTTACCCCAGATTTTACTTTTTTCAGTCAAATCTCCAAGCACAGTAGTTCTTAAAACAGGCATGCAATATTAAACATAATGTTACACATACATTTTTTAGTTCATCCTCCAGTTGTTTGATTCTTGATTTAGACCACGCTTTCATTTTCAGAAACTTTGCTTCAGATTTGGTGGCCTCTTCCGTTTTCAATTTCACTTGTACTAAGAAACAAGACACAAAAAATTATTTAAAACCCTAGAAATATTATTAATACAAGACCTGTGTTTAATTCCTTTAACAATTGGAAGTTATACACTTTTACAAGCCAACTGCATTTAAAGAAAAACATAACAATAAGAAATGTAGTGAGAAATTTACAGTTCATGTGATTATCTTGGTATTCCTATAACCTTCATTATTATAGTATTCGAGCATAGATACTTTTCAATTAGTGTGGCAATAACTCTTCCACCAAATTTAATGTAGTTCTACTTGCAAGAGGTATGAAATTGGCATACAATACGTAACAGTATGGGGCAAAGGAACCATTCATATGTAACAACTGTTTAAATAGGATACCTTCTAAATCTTCCATCTTCTCTTTGGTTATAGACTCCAGATCTCCAACTTCTTTTGGGTTAGTCTGTCCACTACCACTTAATTCTGCCACTTGTTTCTTAAGCTGAAACAGGGCCTGATCTTTCTCTTGTAGCTCAGTTTCATGTTTCTCTTTAATTTCATGCAGTTCAGCATTATATTTCTCCCTAACTTTTGTCATTTCAAGCTCATGTTTCTCCATCATGTCTCTTAACTGGGCTCTCATTACATGTTTCTCAGCATCCAGTTTAGACTGGAGGTTTTCTTTTTCAGACAGAAGACGCTTCAGGTTTTCATTAATCTCCTGTAAAAAAACCAACCAAACAAACAAAAAAACCTTTATATTTTAATGCAAAGTATTTTCAGTACCACTGTCAAATATTATATCTGTATTCTTACATACTTCTCCACATTATAATCAGAAATCAGTGCTACTGTTGGTAACCCGACTCTACTACAAAAGCTACTCAGCTCTAACTTCCCAAGACAGAAGTAGGGACTTCAGCAAAATGGCATCACTATTTGAGTGCAAACTACATGCAATCTCTTCCATAGGTGAAAATAAAAAGCATGTTTGGTTCTATGGAATATAAAAAAAACGGAAGCAGTTCTCTTTAACAGTGATCCCAAAGATTAAGAATGCTCACTACAATGCCACCCAGGTGTTGTCACCCACATCCATTAAAATTAAAAGTTGGCAAACTGATCTAGTTGTTCTTTACAATATTTTGTTGCTATCTAGTTTTCTTAGTGCTAATTATACTTTCAGTGCCTTTACATTAGTTATTTTAATACATAAAGAGGTAGAAAAGATTACAGATCACTGTAACAGAGCAGTCCACTCACATTAGACCTGCTGTTCAAAAAACTAGTGTCATAATACATAAACCTAGGAATATAAACGTCCAAGTACAGAAGCTGTGCAGAACAGCAGAGGCAACATTTCCAAAATATGGTTAAAACTGCTTATGTAAATAAAGCAAGGTTTCCTGCTGTTTTAATACTAAAGCTGAGATTCCATTACAGTTTAAAGTGCTTTAAGTTCATGTTGTCACAGTCAAACCTTCTCCCTACTTTCAAGGTATGCATTTCGTCCCCTCAACGTGCTAGCACTAGGTACTATTTTTCTTGAGAGGATCACTGTAGGAAGATGCGTTTAACTCAAACAAAAAAAACGCCTGCATAAGGCAGGAGGCATAACAAATGGGAAGGACAAATGAAACAGGCTTAAACTACCAACGGATCTTAACTACCTGACCATGACATCTACCTGGGTACATAGCTGAAACTATTTCTAGTAAGATTTTGATTCTGGCAGCCCTCTTGGTAAGTGGAAAATTTGTTGGAAATAGTATAGCTAAAATGCTGGACCTGGCACCCCAGACAGGCTATAATGTGTCTGTTTCAGCAAAGGGTCCCAAAAGCCTATCTGAGAGACTGCAACATCCTTTTCTACACTGTTGAACTGAAGCGGCAGCACTCAAAGGCTATAATCAGAGTTCACGGTATGTGCTTAAACACAAAGAACCTTGATTACGTATTGCCTTTGCAATCAGTAGAAATACAGCAAAAGGAAAGGCACACTACTAGCAAAACACTCTCTTTGAGGGGAAAAAAAGGCCTCAGTTTTGGGGCTCACTCCAGTCTCTAACTAGAGAAGCTGAAATCTTTTGACAGCAAAAAGTCTTCCCTACATGACAAGTTCCCAAAATGAATCAAGTCAAACTACGGGCAATAGTTGACAGTTTTATATTCTATGGACTTTACCTCTCCTTTAAGTTAATTTCCTAACTGGAGTTAGTATGTGTTTGCACAACTATCATTGCATTATTAGCACATGTCAAGGCCTCCCAGAGAGCTGCCTAAATACGTTACGCAAAATTATCTTTTGTGCACATCCAAACAGCTTTTTGAACTTGTAATTGACCTGATGAGTTTAGTTGTGCATGTATGCTGTTTCTTACTTTCAATTGCTGGTCCTTGGCATCCAGTTCTTTTTGCAAGACATCTATCACCTGTGTCCTTCCCAGCATGACTTCTTCCTTTTCGTGGAGCTTCTGTTTCAAGGCCTTTAGTAGCTAGCAAAAGGAAAGGAAAAAAAAAAATCAAGCAATCAATAAAGGAGTTAAAAGTTTCAGAAGAGAAAGAAAAAGACTTACCTTTATTTTCCCAACCAGACATCTGAACTGTGCTGCAGAGGTTAGTAATTACATGATTCCAAATTCCCGTGTCTAAATAAATCAAAGCAAGCTATTGAGTTTCCAAAGCAACATACCTGTTCTAGGTCAGCACTTGCATCAGATTTAGCAGCTAATTTAAAGAGCTCCTGTTCATGCTTTTCCCTCTGTGCTTCTAGTTCTTTTTGCTTTTCCTGGATAATATTTTGAAACACACGTGCCTGAAAACACATAGAAAGTAAATATGAAACCAGTCCACAAAGGTATAGTAGAAGTACACTGAACTGTCTAACTAAAGGTACAGCAAGATAATTCTATCTTAAGTCTGAATTTTGCTTCCACTTAACAGTAAATATACTAATCAGTCAGTGATTACTGATGTCAGTGGTGCATGCGGATAAACCTCCAACTTTTTTTGTCTCAATTCCACAAAAACAAACTTTAGATGAGAAGCATTTTTGTTTAATATCACAGATCTTCACCTTTCTTTTTTGGATGCCATTGTTCTGATTCTTTCAGTTTCTGAAAGATTGCACTGATCATGTTCATTTCTCTCAAGTTTCTATCAATTAAGCCCAAACAGCAGCTTTGAAACCTAGCTGCCGCCTCCTCAAAAACTTGTATTCTACCTCCAATGTGTCTTTGTTAGCGATCTTACAATTTTTATAAGAACTGGATATAACTTTTGGAATCTCGCTAATGGTATTTGGAATAAATTCACATGAAGTCTTACCCAGATTTATATCTTAGTAACAACACTGTGCTCAGCTAAATGGCTTTTACAGTCTCAACTCTTTGTCTTTTTCTTTCTTTCCTGTATCAAAACTAATTCCCTGTGTGCTAGTGACAGGTGTGGTCATGTTCAGGATCAAAAGTAGCATTTTTGTTACAGATAAAATAAACTCAGCCATCAAATGATGTGGAAAATACTGAGGTTAATAGTTTCATATATGGTAGAACTCAAACGCTGAGAGATCAAGGACATGACATTAAAATCTGAGATTTAGCTTCCAAGATGGTTGGAAGAGCCCGGTAACATCAAGGATTGGATAACATGCTCCCTAGTTCCACTTTTTTTTTTTCCTCTTTCTCTTTTTTAAAAAAAGTATTATTTAGGAAGTCGTTGTTGTTTGTCTTGGCCTGTTAATCAGCTGCTAACTTCTAGAAAATTTTCCCCATTAAGTATACCAAACTTCTTCAGCTATTTTTCAGTCAGGAGGAAAACAATTTTTTTCCACGCTCTCATGCTAAAAAGTGTACCATATATCTCACAGCACAAATAAGAGTGACCTGCCAAATAGCCATTTCTGCCAAGAACGTTACAATAATCCAAAAACACTACCAGCCAATGCACGTGTCCATTTTTGCACCTTCAAGTGTAGTGTTACAAGGAAGAGATATTTGCAGGCTCTTCAGCTAGAATTCTGCACAACTCATTTCACTGTTACACGCTAGTTCCTCTGTGCCCAAACACCAGCCACACCCTTAAACTCCTTTCTTGCATAAAACTTTCAACTTAATTATCACCAGCACAAACCATCTACTGCTTCATTATTCTCATTTCATCTGACCACCATATAGATCTTTACTCAAGAATCATCCCAAATTAAAAATGGCATTCCTTAACTATCGAGACAGAAACACTACAGCCAAGATACCACTTCTTCCACCAAAGAATGTAAATATTTTTAAGTGAGTTTACTTACATTTTCCATATATGTAGCTTCTTTTCCTTGGAAACGCTCTCTTTCTTTGCTTTGAATATTTTTAAGACTCTCAATCTGTTCCTGGAACAAGCTACATTTTTCTTCACTGTCTCCAACCTTCTTGGTAAGGTTCTGAACTAGAATCTGCATGCTTTGTAGTGATGACTCTTTAACAGCTAGCTGATTCTTTAGAATGCAAATCAAAAGACAATTAAAAGAATGGACCCAGAAAAAAGATAAAGCAATCATCATGAAGCCACCTTGTTGCCCTTCCCTCAGTTAAAGCAACACTGAACTCAAAATTCAGGTTTGGTTTTAACTTGAATGAAATTAGTCAGCAGATTCTGAAGTTGGTACTAACACATATAAATGGTACTGACAAAAGAAGTAAATAAATATAGATCTACTAACATAAATGAAAATAATCAGTAAAGAATTTTTATTCACATGAATAACTGCAGAGGATTTGTGCTTCAGAGAAGGATCCACCGTATAACGCATCAGAATTCGTTGATTCCTTGAAACCTCTATGGAGATTTTATATTTGAGCTGCTAATATACCTTCAATTCTTCATTGGGCAAGAGTATTTCATTGGCAACACCACTTGATCCGCACGCTATCTGTAAATCGATGATATAAGCATCCCTTTCAGCTAACTTCTTTTCTTTCTCTGCCAGCATGGCATCCATTTCAGCCCCACGACAGCGCTGGGCCTCCAGTTCAACACTCTGAAAATGAAAAGACAGCATTGCTTGTACAGAAGAATGGTTTGCATTATTTCCTTATTGCCTGTTTTAGGGTACTGAAAAAAATACAATCAAATTTATAACCTGGTTCAATTTTAAGTGTAATCTTTAATTATTGAGCCTTTCTCTCTGAAATTCTGCAGCATTCACATCCCTGCCACTTTCCACAATCAACAGTCAACGTCCACCAAACACATCACTGCACAGAACAGGTACAAACCATAACATGAAATCATCCCTTGCCTACATTTCTTCCTGTTATGACTTATTTTTGCAACAAGAAAAATTGAAGCAAAACAGCATTTTTGTTCAAAATACAAGATTTAAATATAACATTAACCCACAAAGTTCATATTTGTGTATCCTATTCCATTCATTTTCAAATGACTACAAAAGCATGCTGGAGGATTCACTGCTCACTGAATACACAACGACAGAATTCTCGCTGTGTTTGCTCAGGCAGGTTGTAGCATATGAATTTCTCTGTCTACGCAACAGAAAACTCTCAGAATAACTGTTTAATAATGTAACATATCATTAAATATATAAATATATTTAAATAACTATATTTAAACATAATCCTATACCACAAATGTGAAAAGCTACACACTTGGCATCATATAAAACACCACCTTTTTTTGTAACTCTTCATTTTTTTGTGTGATCTGGGATTCTAGTTCTTCAATTCTCCTTCTCAGTACTAATATTTTCCCACGATTTGCCGCAGCATTTTCCTGGTCACCATCTTTTGATGCCTGCAAAAACAGGGAGTTTTGCATTCCGTAAACAGGTAACACCTGACTTCTGTACCTCTACCTATTCAGATAATACTGAGAAAAAGCGAACTTTACTCATGATTTGTATTTCAGTTCTCTAATATATTACATATTCCATTAGAAGCTAGACAAATCAGGCACAGAATTTGTATCGAGCTTGTAAAAATCTTCGTATTTAAATTATTAATGATAATTATTGCTGCAAAGTGGACTGGAATGTGCAATAAGGGCATTCATTTCCTCTGGCAATTGTAACCCATACAATCTGGCAAGTATAGTCCACAAAACTCGGAGGGGAAAAAAGGACTGTTGGGGGGGGGGGGGGGTGGGGAAGTGTAAATTAAATTGTTCCTAAGCACAATGTTTCCAATCAGAATTTCAGTAGGTATAACTACTGGGTTATAGAAATCATTTGCCGTTACAAAGGAAATCAAGTGCAATTGCTAAGAATATGTTTTATCAGCAAAATAGATCAGAAGCATAAATAATTAGCTACTCTGTGTCTTTGAGAACACCTAGGGACTTCAACAAACTGATCTGTTTCTGTTCTCTTTCAGCATACCTTTAAAAAACAAATGCCCTAGAAATATTAAAGCCTCACTGAAGTTATTTTAGAAGCTGTATGAAGTCAAAATATGCTATTTTGAAGAAATACAAGTCTACTCACACAACTGCACTACTACAAACAGATGTAAGAATCTTTGTTAACAGTAAAACACTGGTCACTTAAATGAGATATTCCTACACTTAATTTACATTTTGCTATCAAGGACATTTTTGTATTTCTATTTTTATCTTGGACGTTAAAGTAACAAGTTAGGGTTTATTTTCTTTTCTTCTCAAAAACTTACCTTCCTGATTCACATGAGTTAAAAGTTTGAGCTGCTAATAAGATGAAGATCAGTAAGCATTTTTTTACTAAAACAATTTGAAAGAAATGTACAATTTTCTAAATTTCTACAGAAAGATAAAAGAAGAATGAAATAGAAATACACAGATGGACTGACAGCACCAACACAGTCTACCCTGATCCTAATCTGACTCAGCTCAGAATTCGATCTTTGGTTCCACATTTGAGTCCAGCACGCAAAACTGTCTACAGCCTTACAGAAATTACATCTGCTTTAAAATGTAAGAACACTTACCTTTTTTTGTTCTGCTTTTGCCTCTAAGCCTCCTGATACTGATAACTGTTTCTTAAGTTCTTCCAACTGTGAGGTTAATGATGCAACCTTGGCTTTGTTTTGCAGCTTCAGCTTGGAAAGTTTGGCATCAGCAGATTCCTTCTCCTCCTACAAACATCAAAGTCATGAAGGACTAAATTAGCTACAGGAACAACTGCATCGTTCAATTCTTCCATTAAAAAAAAAAAAGAGAGAGAGAGAAATCTAAAGTGATTACCAAAAAAATCTTTCCCCTGAAGAGACATTATAATGTCACATGCAACAGGTCTGCATATATGAAACAACCTTCCTTTCATTATTTAAACTTCCTGCACATGATTATTATTATTATTATTGTATAGAATCCAGGGCATTATAATGTTAGAATTTTCCTATTTTTTGATAGCAATACAAATTCAGGGCTTCATTTTTTAACAAGAAGAGGTTTTTTTTTTTTGGATGCAAAAAGACACCTTCATAATGCTATAAAAGCATATTTCATTTTGTTTAAAGAGACGACTTAATTTACAATGAGTTTTAGAAAATTCAGTATTTTAATATTTGGCTGTTAGTGTCCACAGAAGACATTTTTTTAAAAAGTGTAAAAATAGTCTCTTGCAGGAACAGACCGACTTTATGACTGTTTAAAAAACAACAGAGTAAAGAATAACAAACCCTCAAAAGTCTTCAGGATATTAGATATAAATCCTTTCTAGTTTTGTCCTTCCTAATGTCAGTCAAAGGCAGAGGATAATAGCATTAATAGTAAGATCATTATACAACAAAAAGACATATATAGTGGAAGGAGAAATAAAAAATTGGCTACAGAAATTTAGTCTGAGGTAAGCTGGCATCTCACTAAATGCCCACGAATTATTTGGATGGTGTTATCCCCCATATTTAGCCTAACATGACCATGCACCTCTAGCTCTCAGAAAGTCAGCCTGTTCCTTGCAATTAAGTGCATCTGCTCACGCAAGGAACACATGTTGCCTGTGTAATAGCCAAACCCAGTTACAACTTTGGAACAGAAGACACACTGGCAAAAAGCGGTAACGTCCAGCAACCATAAGAGCTAATCATGACCAACGCTTCCTGTGTTCCTAGAGTCGGTGTAATTGAATATAAGCCTGTATCTACGAAAACAGCTCACGATAAACAGGACCGAAGGGTTTTTTTAAAACAGTCTTTTTGACCAGAATACACGCACGGTACCTTTAACTGAAGATCTTTATTTCGAAGCTCAGCATCCTTCTCTTTGACAAGCTCCTTGAGCTGTGTTACCAGCTGTTCAGTACTTGTCAGCTGTTCAGTCAAATCTGTCACCGACATGCTTCTTGCATCTTGTGAGCCTGCAGCCTGCAGACATTAAGTATACTTTGAACAAACAAAATGGTGCAGACAATAAATACTGCTTCTGCAAAAAAGTCATCAGTTGGTGTTTGTTCGGGTTTTTTTAAACACATTCAGCAAATCTTGTGAGAGTTCAATACTAAAACTTACATATATTGTATGTACCTATGCCAGACCATTTTTAGCAAGTTTGTTAGATACCTGAAATGATAAATCTTAGAAACCGGTTTAGGAATATTTGTTTGAAATACAGCAAAACCATCAAAGCATCTAGGTATCTAAAACTGAATTTCCTCATTTACTGGATTTGCATCATAACAACCAGTAGTAGTGTTACTGAACCTAGTGGCAACAAAATATTGCTACTGAACATAATATACACAAAAAATACACTTGGGATAAAGCTTTTGTAATTCCTACAGGTGTTTTCTTAAAGCAAGATAAGTATAGTGAATAGGAATAGAGCAGCTGTGCTATGCACAAGAGATTAAATACCAAGCAGATGGGAAGCAAGAACCCAACCTGACTTTGAGAGTCCTAAAACTGAGTCATGGTAAAATTAGTTAAGCAACTTATTTACAAAAGAGCAAATATATACGATTAGTATATCATCAATTAAAGATTCTCTAAGTCAGAAATTCTTAAGAAAATACTATTTAATAGTAATTCAATACTTACTACTGTTTTGGAAGGAGAATCATCTCCACTACCCCATTTCCACATAGTTTCACGACAGCTGTGAAAAAATAAATGAAATAATACCACAGTAAGTACCAGTGACTCTAGATAACTGTAATTAACTCGTACTTCTGTCTACATATTTCACTGTAAAATGCTTGAAACTAGTTCAATTCTGACAGCACCTCTGATCTCCACCTCATTACTAGTTGTTGGAAAATAATGAAATTCTGTATAAAATATGCATAATATGCCTTTTCTAAAAACTGCTAGTCAGCAAAATGTCAATACTATGAAAAATAATCCAAAGTCGTCTTTAAAGAGTAAATGCCATGAAGTATTATTCAGCATAGTTGCTTCTTCCACATATAAATAGAAGATACAAACCACGTATAGTTTGCTAATATTTAACCTGACCTTAAACACTGCCTGCCACTACAATATAACAGGCATTATATCAATGCATATTTCTATAAAATCATACATAAAGACTAAAAACATTAAAGAACACCTAACTGCATTAATTGCTGTGTGACTGCTGCGTATCTGAAAAATACAATGTGTGTCGCAATGTTGCAACCCTTGAGATCACTGATCAGCATATAAAATGCCTGCATCTGAAACCCCAGGAACAGCAAGTGTTCCCGGCTGCTTTTTCTCACAATCAAGTACCACAAATTTCTAAATGGCACCAAAGTACCAGACATACACATAATTGCAGCTTCTGACCACGGAAAGCTGTAGCTTCCTAATAAATACAAGTATAGGCCATAAGAAGGTTTTAAAAAGCAAAATCCTAAAGACCGAGTAGGTACGAGGCAGCCTAAAGGTTAAGACTTTTACTGAATAATAGTGACATACTCGGTTGAGAAAAAAGATGGGCAAAGTCTATAAAATAGCCCATGCAGTAAATTCCAAATTGTGTCTTGGAGATATAATCTTAAGAGCAGACTAATGTATCTTGCTCAGCCTCTGGATAATATTCCCAATAGCAGCATGAAGTGAAAAAAGAAGCTGTACCTGTTCAGTAATTTTCACCCTCAACTAGCAACATCCAGAGGAAAATAATCTGTCCTTTCTAATCTGTATTACAGACTTATGAAATATGCATACACAGATCAGTCCTGAATTTGGAAAACAGTTTACAATAAACATTAGCACATAGCTTATCTTAAAGTACTGAATTTGGAAAGCAGTTTATAACAAACATTAGCACATAGCCTATCTTTAAAAGTATGCAGAATGATAGCAGAGGCTGCTTTTAAAGCTGTTTATCATTTCAAAGCTAAAACCAGGAATCACAGACTGCCATCTATGGCCTACATTATCTACAAGGCCAAACTGGATTCTGCGAAGAATCTTTTCTAACATTAAAATCAACAAACAAGCCATAGGCTTGGGGATGGGTATTACAGAACTTGTAAGTAGAAACCTCCTCTCATAACTCTTCCAGAGCCGCAACATCAAATCTGTTCTCAGTGAAAAGCTCATTTCCAGACACATAAATGGGTTACCCAGGTACAAAGAGGACAAAATGACTCACTAGATGTAACGTGGTGGTACATTTGTATTTAATTTATGAATATTTTAGCTCATTTCCAGCTCCGACTGATGCAATCACTTTTGCTCACTTCACATGCCAGCATTCCTATCTGAATACCTTAACTGTTACTTTCCGATGTGTTTTTATTTACACGAGGGACACCAAATATTGACAAGTTTTCCAAATCAAGCTGGGAAACAAAACTGAATGGAACTTTCCTTACCCAGTGAAGTCAATGAATAATGTTTTTTGCTTATCTTCTGGGGTAGAGGCAGCAAGTTAAAGCACTGAAGCTGGTGAAGCTGCAATGTGAATGTCGATCCCTTCTCCTAGCAGTACACCTAAACACAATTCAATTAAGTTTTCTATCACCATTTTCCTTCCTTTGGCAGCCTAAGTCCTGGACATAGCATTATCAGGCATCAAGCATAAGAGAAGCAGGGAGTCCAAATTATCTGTGGCTACCCTCTCTGAAGTTTTCACAGTGACAGATAATTTGTCTTTCCCCTGTAAGTTCAAACCGCTCACCTTCACTTTTACGGTTTCACACTGCTTCATCGCTGCCAGTACCTCATCCTGCTCTTCATCTTGCATATTCGATGATCTTAAAGGTCTTTTCCACCCTAATTGATTCTATTTTATGATTTGATTCTATTCTACAGTGTTGACAACCATTCTTTGTCATCCACTACGCACCCTTTTCCATTAATCTCTTCTTCACTGAAGAACAACGGGTAGGATACTCGAACCTTTCACAAATTCCACAAGATACAACAGAGGCCCACTTAATTTTATGAAACAAGTTTCTTCTGATGCTCAAAGTGCAACTGAGGTTTCAGCTTTTATTGTAACGGGATGTTACCAAAAAGAAAAGTCCCATTGGCAGCTTTGCCTTCATACTCGTCCATTCTGTTGTCCCAGCACTAGCTGCAGCCAAATCCAGCTAAAAAAACCCAACCATGTATTATTCATCTCGGTAGTTTCCAGCCTACTTGACTCCCCTGAGTCAGATATCACAGGGCCCAGCACAAGGGGCACTCAGGAGCACACAGCGCTGGACAGGACAGGTTTCAGCAGCAGCTCATACTGAGGTGGTCACAGAAGTCCCACAGCTTGACCAATCTACATGGTAAAGTATTGTTACAAATTGGTAAAGTATTGTTACAAATACCTATTTGGATGATTACCCAGGCAGAAACACAGTCCACCGACTCCCATAAAACTACTCATGTTTGTCCAGCTTTCCCCACATGTATTAAAAAAATCATTCTGATATTAAAAATGGCTTCAAAGAGCACTCATCTGAGTTCTCACTACGAAGCTATTAAGGTAGGACCTTTCCCCCTGTTCTTGCAGAAATCAGATGATGGGAGAAAACACTGAGGCAGAACTCGGCGCCTCTTACTACCAAGGAAGGCAACAGTAGTCCCCTTTCTCCTCTCTCCCACAAGACTACAGCAGAAAAGCAGACAATAGCAGAAGTGTGTAAAAACTCAGGTAAGTGTTTTATTATTTTAAATCCATTTCCGAGAACAATTTTGTGCTTTAAACACGCACACTGAAAGAAAAGCATTTTAATATAACTATTTTCTTATTGTATCTGCACATTTTTGCTTTTATCCTTGACGGCTTGCCAAGATGTTGGTTCTTCTGCTGAATAAGCTAAACTTGTTTTCAAATGGCCTGTGCCATCTGCGACTTAAAAGCTCCTGGATAAAAACTGCACAAACATATGACATACAGCAAAGCAGGACAAACACTGAAGCTCTGTTAATCAAACCACAAGCACTCTGTAAAGTTAATACAACAATACATTTATATAGCTATTACTCGTGCCTATTATAAACACTATTTCTTAATAACACTGACCACAATTTCCCCTTAAAGATATATTCAACAAGGGAAATACTAACAGTGCACTAGCACTGGAGAAATGACATCAGTGCAGAGCCCCCGGTGCAGAAAATTAGCTATTTCCATCACAGCCGCCGGGTGCAGTTCCCTCCGCAGTGCAGTGCTACCAGCAGCCTGCGACTGGAGGTGCACGACAACCCCCCCCTCGCCGTCCCC